TCATTAATATGTTTCATTAAAAGGATTTTCATTAGGAATGAGTTTGAAGATGTCCTAATATGTCAGACTCTGAGGATGCTATGATTACATCCATAGTCTTTTTAGATCTATACTTTTTTTCCCTCCTGTATCTCTCTGCCTGTGTTATTAAGCATTTCTAAACTTCCTGTTAGCACATTTTACAAACTAAAAAAAAACAGTTTTGTTTTATTTGCATTTGTTCAGTCCCTTAATCTTCTTATTCATTACTTTAGAACATATTATCTTTCTGCTTTTTTTAATAATGAAGTGGGAAGATGAAAGTCTCATCACAGATGATATCAAGTCTGGATATAGGATTCTGGCCATGCCATCTCTTTTGTTTATAAATACATCTTCAAACAAAATCTTGTTCTACAAGGAGTGAACATGTCCAGACCCACACACTGAAAGGACTCCCCGATTCCTGAGAAGTCAACTTTCAGCAAGAGAACAGGGACCTTAAATGTGGTTGGTGGACAAATCTATTTAAGGGAAGGATCCCTCTATTTAAGGATCCATCCCTTTAGGAGAAGGATCCCACTGGTTGTGAGTGGCTGCCAGACACATCACTATTCAATGTCCAAGAAATCATCGCTTCATGCTGCCTTGAGTCTCTGCTGGAGCTCTGAATTTTGTGTGCTCATAGGATGCAGATTCTCTTTTGTCCATAAAAAGAAGGGTCTCTGAGACAGCAAGAGAAATGAAAATGTGGAAATTGTAAATGTCTGAATGTTATTCTCCTGGTGAGTCGTTTTCTCTGAAATTCAGAGAAGAAACCTGACCTAGGATTTGTAAGTGTATTTTTTGTCTTCAAGGTACTGCTTATTTTGGTCTTTGGCTTGAAACTGTTCACTAATGAACTAAAAAGACATTCCAAGGAAAAACTTGAATTTTTACTCTATGGGGTCAAAATTGTGGGTCCCTTCCAACTTGGCATATTCTGTGATAAAATATTCCTTATTAACTTTATGGATTAATGCAATTGTTCTGTGTTTTGTTTTCCTGAAGTTCTTGAACTTATTTGCCAGAGATGACCCTGATTAAGCTGTTACCATTGAAAATAGCAGTCTCCCAGAAAGAATAATAACATACCCTCACGGTTTGTCCCCATATATCATATAATTCGATATAATTAATTGAACAGTCCTCACAAGGGAGGTGGTTGATACTTTGCTCTCAAAATTTTCATAGATCATTAATATTTTCATAAAAAGGAGTGTCTTTTTTTATCAGAAAAATCTTAAGTTTCTGTAATTTGACTGCAAGTTGCACTCAAGAATTTGAAATTTTCATTGGGGGGGAAAAATTCATCCGTATTTCTTTTGAGATGAATATATTCAAAAGAGTGCCAGTACCAGGAACTTATTACACAGGATTTACTAAAGAACATATACAGTGTTTTATATGTGTATTTTATATATATATATATTTGCAATGTACATCCTGTCTTTATTGGAATGTGTGTGATGTTTAACAATGAGAAATGCTGTAAATATTAGAAACTGAATTTTTTACTTCTGTTGGGTCTAAAACATCTCTATTTTTATCAGGAGATAAGACTTTCACAAACATACCTATTTCTGAGGCATGTAGAGAAAAAGCAGTTACAGAAGAAAAATGTATAATGTTACAATCATCTTCAAATAAGATTCACACATTTCAGTCTCCCATATCGAAAGGACTGCAAAGCAAAAGAATATTGAGGTAAAACAAACTGAAGTTCAGTCTGGGATTGCGTGGTTCTTCATTGCCATAACCATCTCCTAAACTGGGTGAGTGTCATGGTTTGAAGCTCCAAAATCCAATTCCCTAGTCCAAGTCCCCCTCCCTCATCTCAACCCAGTGTGAGATGGGTTTTCCAGACACCACACGAGACTCAAAATGGGGGGAAAGGGATATAAATATTACAAGACTGTACAACAAATAAATAGTATAATACACTACATACACAATTCCAACTACCTCTACCATGACATACAATATTTACAACGGATCAAATCTCTTCTCCCTTCCAAATAAAAGTCCAGGAGGGAAGGAGGAAAAAAGACCCCTTCCAGTCTCTGAGCAGCAGTCCATTAGGGCAGCAGGCTCTCTGTGTCTTTCATGAAGCAGCAGTTGTTGGATCTTTGCCAATACACACGAGGGAGGCCTCCAAGCCTCCCTCGACCCCCTGATGCAAACAAAGGGTCTTTCCGTGGGCTGCGTTACCCCAGACAAAGGTTGCTCCACCATGGTCATGTCGACGAAGTGCAGAAGCCTTCGTGACGGTCTGGTATCTTCAGGGGATTCAAGCCCCTTTGCAGAGCTTCTGTGCTCTGCCTCAAGATGGCTGCTAGCTTCTCTGAAGCTGCAGCAAGGGAGGACCCAAAGTCCTCTCTCACACATTTTGTCCTGACTGAGCTCTCAGAACCACTGCATTTAGGACTTCCAATTAATAGGAGTCCACCCCCTCCATTTTTGGAGGGATCTCAAAGAAAGTTTGGGGGAGTTTTGCAGTTCTTACCCCAACTTTCTCTCCGTAAAACTTAGTTCTCTCTGCTGCTTTCTCTCTCTCGACTTGCAGAAGTTTTTCTGTCTGCTCTGCTGCATGTTTGTTTTGCTGCTTCTCTTATCTCTTGGTTCTGTGCCGCCACTTTTTCTCCGGTCAGTGATGTTCTCCTGCTTCTCCTACCGCTGCCCACTCACAGTGGAGAACACTCCTTCAGCTTTCCAACTACAGGTACTTAGCCCAGTTTAACACTGTTCCAAGTCCCTGCAGCCCCAGCCAAGGGGCTGGGGGGAGTGGCAGAGCCCCCAGGGGCTCCTGCCCCTGCTCCTCGTGGCTCTACAACATGGCCACTTCTTCTTCAACTACTACAGCTACTTTCTTTTCCGGTCTACTTGTGGTATGTTTATATTTTGCAGGAGCGCAGATTGGTTCAAATCTCAAGTGTCACCACCCCCTGGCAGTTACCACTTTCTTAGCTCCAGGGGGGAAAACCTGTTTCAAACCACTACAGTGGGTTTGTTTGTTTCTTTCTTTCTTTTTTTGTTGGTTTTTTTTTTTTTGGTGCCAAGAATACTTTGGGGAGTTAAGCAAAGAGAATTTTTGTTCCAGAATCAAAGGCAAAACAGAGAAAGATAGGAAGGATATTGAGTAATCTAACCTTTCATCCTTCAGAAGAGGAAGATACTTATACATAATTGTACAACTTTAATTGGTCCCGTTTCCAGTGTCTGAAATAATGGAGCTTCAAGTCATTGCCCTTCAAAGGTTTAGTTTTTGTTTTCTTTTTCCCCATTTGAATCTGTCCGTCAACATTCTTATGCTGTGGAAATATCTCTCTAATTCTTTTTAAAAAAATTTCCTCTCTTTTTTTTTAGAAGCGATTATCCATAGGTCTTCTGCAAACAACGTACATAAGGTAGCTTAGGTTTATTCTTTCAGAACAAAAAAAAAATGCAAGTTAATTAGTGTCACATTTCAGATTCTTGAAAAACACTCACACAATGCCTTCTGATCTTCCAAAACACAGGCATTTCTTGTCTGGAAGGTGCTATAGGAAGAAAAAGGGCAGCACAGTGGGAATTGAGACAATCATCAAAGCCTGATGTGCAACACACTAGGGGCTGAGGTGCCACACCTGGAGCACCAGCTCTGGCTCTCCTCCCTTTGTGGGGTTCCGTTTCCGACAGTTGAGGGTGGATAGGGAGGGGGAAAACACCAGCACCAGGGGTTTCTTCAGGTCCTGATCTGGAGGGGTTAGGTGCTCACCCCTCCCCCCACCACGCTTCCATGGCAGCCAGAGAGACAGCACACAGCACCTGGAGAGCAGGCAAGAGAGAGAGTTTATTGTTGGGGGTGTTACATATATAGGGTTTAGGAGGATTCACAGAGTAGCCAATTACAAGTCTCAAGGGGTTTACATGAAACACCAATTGCAGGAAGGGGTTAACAAGGTCCAATGAGAAGACTTCTTGATATCTTCTCAGGACATTCCTGAGACAGAGATAACCTTGCCGTGGGGGGTCTTGGGAAGAAGAAAGCATGAGTTAGCAAAGAGACTACAAAAAGCCATTTTGAGACATGTTTAAACCACAGTTTCTCATATAATGCAGATTTACTGCTACACAACACGATACTATAGATATTTCTTTTCATTCGAAAATAGCAAGAAAAAGAATTTTGTCATAATTCTACTGACTTCAAACCCAGGCATCAAGCGCCTGCTTGGTCAGCTCCTTTGCAAGCATCATAATGAAGCAGTGTGGCTTTGTGGAACAGATTAAGGAACATGTCTGAGACCTAAAGAAAAGTGCAGGTTATAACTCTCCTGAAAATTCATGGTAATTTCCACTAATGGAGCAGAAACTTGCTTGACACTAACTTGCTGAGACACTGAAAAAGAAATTGTCCACAAACAGTTGCTTTTTAGAGATACCCAGTGGTCAAGTTTCAAAGCCAGGTGTTTTTTTGGAATTAATTTCTTCCTTAATCATAGTTTATTAAGTGTAAGTAAATTGGCAAAGAACAATATGTTATTAATATCATACTTCAAATGGCATTGCCAGGCCTATACAGAAGTTTGTGAAGAGAAATTAACGTGCTACAAATTTCTCAGGCGTCAGAAATGCGATTACGTTTCAATTTAAGCGTTTATTTACCTAAGAATTATTTTTACAATATTATCATTTTCTAAAGTTAAAGCTGATAGAAAAGTAATGTAAAAATAAGAACTAAAGAAAAGTCTACTAAGAACAACTGAGAAATATTACTTTTGCTTAGTATCAATTATTTAAAAATGAGCCCTGTTTCACTTCTCTTGTGTTTAAACTTTTCTTCGGATAAGATTTAGGAACAATACAAATTTCACTACTACAGTAAGGCATTTAGGTTGAAATTGAATGTTTACCTACACTTTAATTACACAAACCCATTATAATTAAATGCATTTCAAACAGCATGTACACAATGAAATAAATTCCTCCATATAGTAACATCAAATAAATAGACAACACTGTTCTCTTTTCTCAAGACTAGATAACAATGAACCAATTATTCTTTACTGCTTTCCAAGAGGGCTTCCCATTGTACAGAGAGGTTTAACATCTGGATCAATGCCTGCATGGTTCTTAATAAAGTCCTTTAGCTCTTAGAAATTATTGGAAAAGCATCTTCTGTGGAAAACAAAGATTAGTTTAGCTGGATGCCATGCTGAGCAACGGATGTTTTTCTTGGCTAGCACACCACAAAACTGCTTCCATTATCTGTACCAACTAAAGGATCTCCAGGCTTCAGTCCAGTAAACAAATATTATTTTCTTGTCATTCAGTACACTGTAGCTTCTTGGTTTTCTTTAAGGGTGAATAAATTGGGCCAAACTTTGGCTGTTGCCATTGCATCTTGTGCTTGCATGTTGCCTTGCACTATTCCCATAAAGGAGACACAAAGGGACTCCTGGAAAAATCTGTGCATATGACATAGCCCTAACTGAGAAATCCTACATCTCTGTCCTGTAAATTCCCATGCATTAGGATTTTTCAGGATAAGGATTAAGCTGTGTGAGAGGACTGTTGGCAAAGTGCAGAAAGTATGTGCCGAAGCGCAAGGAACAGCAGTGAGAGACTGCCCTGAGGTACCAGCCTTTAGTATTTTTACAAATTGCTTCCAGGTATACACTTAGCTCAGAAGTTAAAGGAAAAAACAGCTTAAAAAGTTTTTGATGTTTTTCACGTGCTTTTTTTCCCTTTTCCCCCCACACTGCACTTGTGATCAGGGGCAATCTCTGTGAATACCATGGGTGCTTGCCCTGCCAGCACACAGCCCCTGGGAGTACCGGCTGCAAGAGTGTCCACAAGCAGCACTTGCTGTGACAATCAGATACCCACTGGTTTTGACACTCTGGTTGCTCTTACGCAAAAAAGTACCAGGCAGGACTTCATAGAACCCTGTCAGATCAAATCACACATACACCTGGAAGAGCAGCATTTCTTTTAGCAGAGTAAGGTGTGTGAGTAGCCTGTGAGCTGATCATTTCCTTGGATCCCAGATTTTATTCATAGGCCACTTCAGCAGTTCTCTCAAACTTTTTGGCGTGCCATTCCGCTCCTCTGGGTTTTAATCTAGCCAGTGGCTTGCCACAGGGGCCTCTCTCTCCTCAAGGGTTCTCTGTAATACCACTAGCGTTGGCTCCAGCAGTGGTCAGGCTCAATAAATCTCAGCTGGTGAATATCTTTGATGTTTAGTTGAAGGGATAAATGATATGAGACAAGCAATCATGAAAAAGTATTGTTCTGGTAAAGTGAATCAGTGCATCATTAAAAATGTCTCATTCTAGGACCTGTGTTTAATGGGATGACTAGGGGATACTGCAAGAGCTAAGCAATGAAATCTTTGCTTTCCCTCTGAATATGAGGAACAGTTCTGCATCTGAATGATTATTTTAATACTCTCTTTTCAAATTAAAACATGTAGGGAGAGACATGCTGAAAAAGGGACTTTGGCTAAAGGCTTCCCAGCAGTTATACCCATGCTGATGAACAGCACGGTTCTGTGCTTTCCAACGGGGGAACTGGGGCAGTGAAATTTCGTCTGACAGGTTTATTTCTACATTACCACAATTTTGGCTAAGGGCAAAATGGATTAAAAAGAGAAAACACTTAGGATGTAAGGAGTTGTAGCTGTGTTTCTATGCTGAAGTCCTGGCATTAATCTGGACTTGGCGGCACTGGTTACAGGAAGAGGAAAGGTAATTCTGTATCAATTTCAATCTGTGTTTGTAAATAAAAGCACTGATGTAATAGAATTTTTTTAATGCATGAGGTTTAGGAACTCATGTTCAAGACAAGCGCTGTTGAGAAGTGATGAAAAAAGTGCATTTAGTAAGAAACATCTGCAAATGGTGTGTTTAGCAGGGTAAATAATTTGAATAAATACAGCCTCTCTGGAGAAAAATTGTTTTACTAGTAAAATATTAGTGTGATTATTATCTATAGAAACAAAAACACTTTTTACAGATCAGTGTATATAGAGACAGACATGCAAGCAAGGACAAAATCAGTAATCTTGTAGAAAGGAGCAAATTCCGAAGTCTCGGGGAAAAACACAGAAGTGATAGACAACAGATTCTGCTTTATCTTTTGTGTCAACCCTGTTAGTCTGGTTTTGTTCAGTACTTTACATAAATAGTGCTGAGGTTATGACACAGCTTTGGTTTTTGTTCATTAGCCAAATTGACACAGGATATTGCCCAGTTAAGGCACCTGTTTGTGCTTTCCCCACAAATGTAGTTTGCATTACTTAGAGTGGAATACTAAAACAGAGGGGATTCTGTCTTTTCATGCTTAGGGTGTAAATTCCTTGTAAGGAATTCTAAGAACAAGTTAAAAGATTCTGTAAATAAATAAATTATTAACATTTCGAAAAGAATGAAGAAGAAACAAGAAGACGAAAGATTTGTCAGAACTAATAATCCAAATGTTTTTATGCCTCTCAATCTCTGAGGCCAGTCAATCTTCTAAATTGCCTTTTTTAAATTTTTTGAAGTCCTATAACAAGTACCTAAATGAGACACTTTAATATTTCATGGATTGCACATCTTCTAATCTGCTCTTTATTTCATTTTTATGAAAATTACCCTTCAAATTAGTTTTCTTCATCTCTGGAAGACCCATATCTTATGCATTATAATTTTTTTTATTATCTTGATTTGTGTATAGCTATGACTAGAGAAAATTCCAGCTTGAATTTTCAAAATAACTCAAATGACATACATGGCATCTAGATGATATTACATATCCCTCAACAAAGAGCATTTTGGGTGGTCTTTTGAAATATTTTCACTAAGCAAATTAAAGATTGTTATTTCAATTTTGTGTTTCATTCTCCAGATTAGCTTAATTCCATGGTAATACTGGTTGCAAACAGGTCAGATATTAATTGGCATGGCTCCCCAGCCTTTCCTAACATCTTTCTTAGGAGATGGTGTTCTCTGGAAAACAAGCAGAAAAGTTTCCTTTTGCAGGGAAACTGAGAAATGACACACATGGCACTGATGCATGGTGGGAAGTGATGGAGGCTAAAATACCTTTGCTAAGCATGTTTAATTAGTTGTTATTGCTGCAAGTTTTGTCTTTATAAAGTTTTGACATCCAGTGCCATGCTTGGGTTGGGAGGCCCTGCCAGCATTTTCTTACTGTGTGTGTTAACCGTGACTGTTTTTCAGTGATTGGGGATGGAAACCAAATGAAGCTTCTCCAATGTTGTACTGTCTCAGTTGTTGTTACAAAGGAACTGGGGGATAGTAATGATGGCTGAGATACTCTGATAGAGTGAGAAACCAGGCAAATCTCTAAACTCCAAGCAGGCACTTGTTTGGCAAGTAGTTCATGATAATCTAAATGATAACACCTGAAAAAGCAAGTACTTATCAAACAGATTAGTCAAGTGACAGTATCAAGACTCCAGTGCTGTATTTCTGCCTCCACTGGCTTCAGTCTTTGATGTTGCTAATCCCCAAGGTTTAAGACTGCTGGTCTCAAAACTGCTTTGATGAGAAAAGCTAGGAGAAAGGTGATGGTCTTCGCTCTTTCCCAAGCTATGCTATCACTGGTGTTTATAAATCCTTTTCTATTAGAGAAAACTAATCTGGTCCAAGGACACTTAACCTCTTTCCACAGGACAGGACTGCTTCAGCTTATCCCGGCAGGTGTTAGCCCTGGTGTAGGTCCACCCTGCTGTGAATGCTAGTGATCCAATTCATTCCAATAGCTATGGACTGGAATAGCCAACAGAATAAATAACCTCATGATTTTTATGCAACTATGCCAAACAAATACATGTTATGCAACATTTCACTTCCTACCTTGAACTGAGCGGCTGTGTGGTATGCCTGGGGTTCAAGGCAGGCAGGGAGCATTCCACAAGGAGTTAGTGGTCATTGAACCTCTCTCCTGGCTAGGACTGTCAAAGGAGCCTCCTGTTTCTAGTCCTGAGTGAGTCTATCAAACAGAAAATATTGTAGACAAAGAGTTTTCAAACTGCTTTTCCCAGAGGTTGAATATGAATCCTTGTACAGACATGAGGGCACCTAAGGAAAGGGTAGGGGTCTGGCCATGAAAGGAGGAGAAGCAAAAGCACAAGACAGCCCAATGAGGTTCTGGTGGGCACCTCAGGAGCACAGGCTGAGACATGCATTCACAAACAGCACTGACTGCAGCTCCTTTCAGAAGCTTTTGTCACGTTTCATACTGTATCTTTTGTCCAAACATACTTTTTTTGGGGAGAAAGCTGTTTATACCTCTCCTTGTGTACATATCGGGTATGTGTTGTATTGAGCTTATCTCCAGATGATTTAGACAATACTTTCCCCTGTTTGCTCTCGCTTCTGCTGGTTCATTTAGATGCTTCATTTCCCACACATGGTCTCTAAATTATTTGTATTTTTTGAGTGCACCCTGGAAGCCTTGCTAAATCTGTCTTTCAGATCAGGCATTCAGTTCCACCCAGAAGCTGAAAATATTTGACAAGTTTCAGTGTTTTTTTCTTCTGTCTGGAACTTTAAAATACAGAACCCTGTGAAAATGAACAAGAAGCCCTGTTTATGTAAAGGTGGTAGAGCTTTGCTGCATATTCAGATTGTATTTGAGGCAAAAAAATTAACATGCAGATGAGGTTTTATAATTCTTCATCCTTCCTGCTCTTCCTTGTTTCCCTGTAATGGATTTTGATTTATTTGATGATGGGATCGGACTTCTCTCCTCTATCATCAGGGACCTTCTCACATTTTCTGCTAAGGGAAGGGGAGGGGATGGTAAGATTTGCATTTATGTTTTTTTGTGATTTTCGTTCCACTACAACTGAGATTACAGAACCCCTGGTAAAAATAAGCTTCCCCCCCCAGATGCAGATCTATAAACCAATGAAAACATATAAATATACATTCTGATAAGAATTATATAATACACTATATTAGTAGCTGGAGGTAAAGAAAGTTATTTTCTGTGTAAGACTATAAATATGTTAGGCAAATTTTTGCAGCTGAGAAAGTTTCTTCTGTGTATTTTCATCGTGTCATTCTTGTCAGAGAAAAACTGCCACAAATTTTAATGTACCCTGGATTTAATAGTGGCTGGTAATGAATCTATGATTCTATAAAATGCCTGTGAAACAAACACAGCCTCTGTTCACATTTTTCTATTTTAATAGTCTTCCTATAGCTATCCTAGGTCACATATGTATTCATCAAATATCTTTCCTTACCTGCTGGCAAAGTAAGCTAATAGTATATGCATTAGTCTGTGCTGTACCAAAGTTGAGATGTGCCCAAGTTTGTACATGCATTTCCCATTAAAAAGGGAAAAACATATAAGCTTACAATAGATGTCTTCTATTTAGCTTACTTGTTTTTACTCTGCATGTCTTTCATTATTATTATTAACAAATTTTTATCAGTGTTACCATAGAAATGGAGAATGCTAATTCCTAGAATCATACCAAAACTCATTTTTCTATCCTGTTTACTTAGTTGCTCTATTGCAAACAATGCTTGCTAGATAGCTGTGAATAATTCAGAGCAGCTACATTATTTGACCAGTTTATTTTTGTGTGCAATATCTTTGCATTTGAGCAACACATTTCCCATGCTGTTTTGGAAATGACTCTTGTGAAAATACACTGAATTTTCAGGACAAAACTATTGATGGATTTCCGGGGGGTGGGGGAAAGAAACTAACAAAAATCCATAAGCTTAAAGAAAAGGAAGGACAGCAACTGAAACTTATCTTCACTTAGTGAGTAGTTCTTTTCTCTCTGAAAGCCATTTCGTACTAATTCATAAGCTGTGTTTCTTCAAATTAGAACATATATGTTTTAATGGAACTTGCTGATCATTAGGTATAAAGCATGTAGTGAGATGCTTTTAAATGTTTCTTCTGGGAGCTCAGACTGTCAGTAGAATGTAAGGCACTGCAGCTGTATCAGCTACAGCCATCTAGAACCTACCTGAGTCATTCAACCATAACTTGACAGTTTATTTAATTTTGTAATACTAATTAACTGTGGAGGGGGAGGGTGAAGATATTCTAGAACCATCCAATAACTACATTTGTAATGCAGCAATTAATTAGAAAATTAACTCTCTTAAAATAACATCTCAGTATTCCATAATTAATATACTTAGAGCGCTCCACTACGAATCTTAAGTTTGGAAATTTCAAAATATTCCTACTGTAACAACTGAGTCCAGTTTAAAAATCAACATGTTCTTTCTGCTTAATGCATCATCATCAGCTACTGCAAATGGCCTAGAATCAAAATTTACCAAGCAATTTTTTTTAACGTAGCAGAAGGTGGAAAAGAATACAATTCAGTCTTTCACAGCAATACTGACTCTGTTGCGCCAACAACCCCGCTCATGCTTCATGATACTGTGTAATTGGAAAGAGACAAACAAATCAGGGATGTACAGCATCTTTTACATAGTATAGTATTTTTACATAGCCATCCTCTTGATTATTCTCCCCTCAACGCGTATATTATGGTCATGAATAAAAGGAGAGAAGAGGAAGAAAGGATGAAATTATTACCTAAGTGCAGGATCCTCAGTCTGTCTTCTGGAACTGTGAATAAGATGATTAGTTTTTTTAGTGTATATAGTACTCGGTGATTCCTCTAGTCTGTGTTTACAGATTTGCATGCTCATTTTCTATCATTCACCTGTTTCCTTACAGCCTGTTTAACTCAAAGATGGTATCTCTAGCCTTTTGGTATTGGATAGTCATTTTGTTTCCTTGTGTGCTTTAAAAGCAACAGCACCTTGGAGCTGAACATTAGAAAAATACAGGTAGTAAATAACTGATTCAGCTCTTAAAATGAACTTCATAACTGACAAATTTCTCCAAGAGATAATGAAATCCTACGTTTTCACTTTAATAATGTACAACTCCATTTGTAACAGCACCATCTGGAGACACAGCAATGTTACAGCCGCTAAACCCTCACCCACGTGTTTGAGCACCCAGAGGGCGTTCTGCATGATCCAGCTCCGGGTCTGCAGTGATTAGCCATGGTTGTGTCCAGGCATTTGCACAGAGATAGTGCAAAACTCTCCCTCATGTCATTAATCACCTCTACCTCAGAACTACACATGCACCTCAGTGTATTAGCATTTTTTCAAAACCACCCATCCCAGGAAAGTTATTGCAGCAGCAGCTCATCCTTAGACATTACACCTCGGAGTTTTCACATCCTTTCAGTCTTTCAAACCATTTTGCCTTGCAACATGTATGTGAGTGTCTGTCTGTGCAAGCAAACTGGTGATGATTACTTCAATCAGCCTTGGTACCAGTACTACTGACCCTTCTCCCACTGCACGAGGAAGATATCCCATCAGTATGGAGTGACTACAGCCAGCCATGCAAGGTAACCAACATTCGACTGCAATAAGCAGGTAATGCTTTTGTAGTCTGTGGTTTCTCTCTCCACTTGAAAAGGTTTTGATCAAGAATACCAGTTTAAAAAAATCCCACCATTCAGTACATGTACTTATTATCATTAAATCTTCATCTTTTCTGTCTCTTCATATGTCCTCCTTTAAATTAAAAAATGGGAAACTCAATCCAAATTTTCAAATCAAAGCAAAATTACTGCTGCTGGTAAAACTGTAGTAAGATTATTTTAATGTATATTACTAATGCTTTCCTTGTCCTAGCTATGATTACACCATTCACAAAATGTTTAGAAAAATGCATATTAGTGCATATCAATAACGAAGGATTGAATTTGAGTACTTTTATAGTGCTGCTGATAAAATTCTCACTTGCCAGAACAGAGTGTGCTGTAGTAACAGCACTATTCAGCAAGAGCATGGTGCAGCTTTAAGCAGAAATCTGCTTTCCCCTGGCAGGCTCTGTAGCATCTGTGAGAGATAACAGCAGAAAGGTGGAAGATTTAGCACCCTTTACCATGTTTGTCCACGCAGTGATAGCTGATGTCTGATGCTTGTCTTTGAACTCTGTTTCTAAGAAGAATGGAGCGGACTAAAGATCTCTGTAACCCTGACTCTTTGATTAATCTCATTTCACTGTGCCTCGTCTACATGGCAATGTCAGGTAGCCACTGCCTGCTGCAGACAACCCCATCTTCAGGTTTTTCACTCCTGTGCAATTTGTAGCAAGTGACCCTGGTTCTCCCTCCTCACTTGATGTACATTTGGTGTTATTTTTTCTCTCCTGCATATCTGCAGAGGAGCATATTTCCTCACTTACCCGACCTCCCACCAGGCTCTGGGAAGCACATGGTCTGACTGGTGCCCACAGCTCTGTTCTCACAGAATAAAACACGACACAGGTTCTGCTGGGAGAGCCCGCCCGCACTCCTCTAGGGAGCGGCAGGAACATGAGCCGCGGGCTCTGTAAAGGGATGATCATTTCTGGGGCACCGAGGGAGGGAGAAAGTGCTAATGGCTTCGTCTCCAGAAATGGACCATGGGGATTAGGACACCTCAGAGCTGTATTTTTTTTCTGCACTGATGACAATTTTTAATCTCTGTCTTTAGTGCTGCCTGCAAAGTGCTATCCTCTTGGAAGAGTGTGCACTCACTGAAATAATCACACTTTCCCTTCCCCTCTGTCAGCTATTAATAGTGGTAAATTTTAATTGCATATGTAAATAAAAACACTGTGTACTCATTAGTTTAAATATGTTTTTCATTAGGCAAATGAAAAGCTCCTTGTATATGATGCAAAGCTAAAAGGAGAATATTAACAACATGGAGCAGTTTGGGAAATATAGTGACTTGAATTTTTAAACTTATTTTTTAGGATAAAAATAAACTGTGTTTTAAGGGATTATTATGGGTAAATTTTGCAGTACAAGCATCTTGTTTCTGGAAATGGAAAAACAAAGTTAAGTGACAGAAGCATGGTTATGGTGTCAAGGCCAATGCATTTAAAACTTCTACTAAAAGGGAGATAACACATAAACTTGTATTACTCTTTATAGCATTGGCTATTTTGGAGATGGTAACTGGAAGGTAGGTAGTATTTTTCAGTTTCTATTTAGAAAAATCCTGACATGTCACACTTTTTGATAACTTGAAACATGTTGCTCTCAAATTACATCACTACTTCATCGTTAATTTTCAAACTCTTGGAACTCAGCACTTCAAATACACTTTTTGCTATTTTTAGGGGCTATGCAATTATAGTGAAGAAGATATAATTTTTCAGTTCAGTAATCCATATTTTCAAGCTTGGAGTGTATTTATCTACCTACGAGGTCATAATTTGTTTTCTTTCTATCAACAAAACACCCAGAATTTCATAACCAATTTACTTGTAAACTGTTTTTTCCATCTCCTTCCACTGTTCTTCTCATGGTGAAATGAGAGAAATCTTATCACAGAGACATTTAGTAAATTAGTGTAATTTTATACAAAAGCCTGTCCGCTTAACACTTCAGACACAGTGAAAAGATGCTCTGTGGGTGTGCTTTTCTAAAGTTGTTATGGCTCAGAACAGTTTAACAATCTCCCTTTTGGCATTGGAAGAGATCACATTGCTTGTGTGGTTATCCACTGAGGTCAGTCATTTGTCGTTATAAAGTAGATATTAGGAAACACATGTTTGGCTATCATGATATATTAGTATGAGAATATAAAATATATCTCTCTCCAAAACCTAGAGCACCAAATACACTTTCTTCTCAATTGCTTTAGTAAGAGAGCCAAGATAAAAACCATTTTTATTTTATAAAGATAAGCTTGAATATCCTTGTCTCATCTATGCTTCCTCAGTTCAAATTCTATCAAACTTTTATATTGGAGAACAGTAAAATATTTATATGCAAGATGTAGTGAAAGAAATGCAAGGGCTGGCTAGAGGGCAGTCTCTTGGAATTAACAGAGCCAAAGCTTCAGCAGTCTGAAAAGGAGTATGTCAGTCTTCTAGATTCTTCATTTGCCAAACTAAATTATAGCTAACAGGATCCATAGGCAAGAGAATAAAGGCAACAGAGATTCCATTTTATATGAAGAGCTATTGCACTTGACATGGTTCAAGGCAGATTAATAGATTTTAAGACCAAAAGGGACTACTATGATATGAAATTGGAGTTTCTACAAAAGAGAGGCCAGAGGGTTTCACTTGCCAGTTCCCTGAAGAAGTTCATGAATTCTGTCTGAGCTGTAGCAAAGTTTTGAGGATCATAGTCAACCTGGTTATGGCTGAAAAGTCAAGAATCAAATATTCTCTTTTGCATCGTTTTACAGAAAATGTTTAAAAGCTCTCCTATTTCAAAAGCAGTGCTCTGTGCTTGGTTCAGACAAGTGAAAAAATCAATCTTCTAGTCATTGCATCATGTTTTGTTTTATCCTACCAGTGGCGCAGGGATAGTAAAGTTGAGGGAGAAAAGAGAGGTTGGGTCAAACAAGACAGTTTGAGTTCTTTAAGAAATTAAAGGAGGCTGTGATTTAATACATGATGATACCACCTAATATATAATAAGTCATGATCTCATTTTTGCCCTTGATGCCCTCAAAATTCTTTATTTTCTAGCCTGCTATATAAAAACCAAAAGCCAGTGTAATGCGAAAGTAATATTCACTGGATATTCATGCTTACATACACTGATAGCAACCTACCAAAATCCTAAGTCAGTCTGGAGCCAGTCCACAAAGAATCTGGGGACTCATTGCCAAAGGATTTGAGCATAACAGCCCTCCATGCCCATTGTTTACAGTCTAAGGTGAATTTGAAAGTAGGCACACCCTGATCTTCATTATAACTCTAAACATTGTCTCTGCTAATCAGAACAGGAGTTCTCGTTCATCTTTAATCCCTGCAGCATTTCTCCAAAGTTGTGAATATTCACAGAAAGTGGTTATCTTCTACAAATCATTGCACCGATCTCCAGATGATTCCTTTGATTCCCACCTATCATCAGATCCTCTTTAGTGATTTCTCATGAGGTTCCCCTCCCTCTCACCACTGACTTTCTCCAGGTATGAGAAGATATATTTCACAGATGCATTAAATATTGTACATAGGTATCCTCACACACTGACACAACTCATGTAGCATTTAACAGCTCCTTCTTCAGGTTCCTCAAGAAGCTTATGGTAGAGATGAGAAATCTGAGCCTATGTAACACTTTAATCCATAGTAAGCTCCAAAATATTTAAATTGTAGATACATCTAGACTGAGCGCTTTTAATGGTAAAATGTAATGATGGTAGATGAGGAAATGTAATTTCTGTATAACACATCTAAAACTAGCTTATAACATTTTTATCCACATTCAAATGTCTTATCTGATACTTGGCTCAGTAGGAAATGGTAACATGTCAAGGAGCCAATTAACATTATCTCACTCCCCTTTTTCTCTCTTTAAATTCTCTGCCTTATGAGAGCTACTTCCAGTTCTGTTCTTACTCACAGTTAAATTGATTGAGCTCGGGTACAGTTCTGATTTGCTGATACCTCAAATGCTACTGGAACCTCTGAATTTGGATGAAATGAACATCCTCACAAGGGAAAACCCATTCATCAGTGTGCCATAAGAATTCTGGAGACCTACTTCTTTGTCCACTCTGAATTATACTACGC